CGTCCGATCTCCTTACCATGGGTGTCAGCATGGATGACCACATGTGCGACTCTCTTTGATTGGGTGGTTGCCACCACCAACCTAGGTGACTCATTTTCTAAAAATTATAAAATGGCACAGATTTTGAGTTTTCTTTATATTTTAGTTGCTAAATCAATTTTTAAATTTACAAAGACCACCCAATAAATTTAATTTTGTTCAATTTAGTCCCTAATTTTATTTTTGGCATCTTTAAGGGTAAATTTTAATTTTATTTATTTTACACGTGATTTAATTTATATATAAACTAGTTAATTGAATTTAAATTCATAAATTAACACTTAAAATTTACATGTGGTGTTACAAATTCTCCTCCCCTTAAAATAATTTGGTCCCCCAAATTACATAATTCAAAATAAGGGAAGGTACATTTCTCGCATAGAATCTTCGCGATCCCAAGTAGCTTCATTCTAGAAGTGGTGTTTCCAAAGTACTTTCACCATGGGAATGGTCTTGTTCCTGAGTACCCGGTCTTGTTTATCAAGAATGGTCGTTGGCACCTCCTTAAAAGTTAAGTTCTCTTCAATTGGAAGTGCTTCATAGTGTAGTACATGAGATGGATATGGATGATACTGTCGTAATATAGATACATGAAATACATTATGGACCTTGGCTAGTTCTGGTGGAAGTGCTATATGATATGCTGATGTACCCATCTTGGCTAAGATCTCAAACGGTCAAATAAAGTGAGGACTCAATTTTTCTTTCTTTCTAAATCTCATGATGCCTTTTAATGGTGATATTTTTAAGAATATGTGATCACTAGCCTGAAATTTTATATCTCTTCTGCGGTTATCTGTAAAACTTTTTTGTCGATTCTGAGCAGTCTTGAGATTTCTTTTCATTAGAGCAACTTTAGAATTTGTTTCTTCAACTATCTCTGGTCCATACAGTTTTTGATCTCCTACCTCTTTTTAACAAACTGGAGATCTGTAGGGTCTGCCATAGAGAGCTTCATACGGAGTCATGCCAATATTAGACTGAAAGCTATTATTGTAAGCAAACTCGATTAGTACAATATGATCATCCAAATTTCCTCTTAAATCAAGAACACAAGCTCGAAGCATATTCTCCAAAGTCTAGATGGTTCTTTCTGATTGTTCATTTGTTTGAGTGTGAAAAGCTGTACTGAAGGATAATGTAGTGCGAAGAGCCTGTTGAAAACTTGTCCAAAATTTAGAAGTAAACCTGCAATCTCTATCAGAGATCACTAAGATAGGAATTCCATGGAGTCTGATTACCTTTTTAATATACAACCTGGCAAACTTCTCAAGAGAATTTGTATCTTCATAGGTAGAAAATGAGTTGACTTGGTCAATCCATCCACAATGACCCATATTGCATCATGACTTGATCTGGTTCTAGGTAGCCCTATTACAAAGTTCATAGTGATGTGTTTTCATTTTCATTCTGGAATAGGGATAGGCTAGAGCAAACCACTAGGTTTCTGGTACTCAATCTTAACTCTTTGACATGTGAGATATTTTCTGACAAAGTCAGAGAGGTCCTTTTTCATACATATCCACCAATACTGTGATCTCAAGTTCTGATACATTTTTGTACTACCAAGATAGACTAACATTTTAGAACTATGGGCTTCCTTTAAGATTTGCTTCTTCATATTTTGATCATCAGGAATACATAATTTATTTTTGAATATAAGGATCCCATCATCATGAACCCTGAAGTTAGCTTCCAAATTCTGTTATGCTTTCTTTTTCAAGGCTTGTATAGCAGTGTCGTCCATTTGAACATCCTTGATTTTTTGAATTAATACCGGTTGTATTCTCAAGCTAGCTACATAATAACCTGGAGGGGTAGTCCTTCCACTAAAATTCCTAAACATTCTCTATATCCTTCCAAACAGAAAGCATAGCCCTGCCCATCATATAAATACTCTTCAGGCTTAATACATCAGCTACTACATTTTCTTTACCTAGATGGTAAGAGATGTTACATTCAAAATCCTTCGAAAGATCCATCCATCGATGTTAACACATGTTTAGTTCTTTTTGTTTGAAGAGATACTTGAGGCTTTTGTGGTTAGTAAAGATCGCAAATATCTCTCCACACAGATAATGACGCCACATATTGAGAACAAAAATTATAGCAGCTAATTCTAGATCATGAGTTAGATAGTTTTATTCATGGTTCTTCAAATGTCGTGATCCCTAAGTGATGAGTTTGTCATACTGCATTAAAGCACAACCCAAGCCTAATTGTGAAGCATCTGTATACCCTTCAGAACCACTAGGTAGAGCTAGTATTGGAGTAGTAACAAGCCGATTCTTAAGCTTTTGAAAACTATTTTCACAATCATCTATCCATTTAAATTTTATATCTTTTCTTGTAAGGTGAGTAAGGGGAGCTGCAATCCTGAAAAATTCTTTAATGAATTTACGGTAATAACCTGTTAATCCTAGGAAGCTTCAGATTTCTGTAACAGTAGTAAGACGCTTCTAATCCACTATTGTATCAATCTTGGCAGAGTCTACTATGATCCTATCCTTAGAAACCACATGACTGAGAAAAAAGATTATGTCGAGCCAGAACTCACACTTGCTCAGTTATCATATAACCTTTCGTTTCTAAGAGTCCCGAAAATACACCTCAAATGTTCAGCATGTTCATCCGCACTCTTGGAGTATATCAGGATATTATCAATAAACACGATAACAAACTTGTCTAACTAGGACTGAAATACCTTATTCATCATATCCATAAACACTGCGGGAGCGTTAGTTAAGCCAAATGGTAAGACCTGAAATTCATAGTGGCCATACTTGGTTCTGAAAGCAGTCTTGGGAATATTTTTTGCCTCGATCTTGATCTAATGATACCCAGACCCCAAATCAATCTTTAAAAATACTTTATCACCCTGCAATTGATCAAAGAGATCATTAATCCTTGGTATAGGATATCTATTCTTGATTGTAACTTGGTTGAGAGCCCTGTAATCAATACACAATCATTGGGTCCCATCATTCTTCTTCACAAATAGGACTGGTGTACCCATGAAGAAATGGTAGGGCGGATAAAACCTTTCTCTAAGAGTTCCTGAAGCTGTTTTTATAACTCTACTAATTCTGCTCTTCCCATTCTGTAAGGAGTAATAGAAATGGACTGAGTGTCAGGCAAGAGATCAATAGAGAACTTTATCTCTCGACCTGGTGGTAGCCCTGATAACTCTTTAGAAAATACATCAAAAAATTATTATACCACTGCTATTTCCTGTAGTGGAATTTCTTTTTGCTTTTTTCCTATAAATCAGTTCCAGAGTTAGTTGAGAATAATTACATTTGAAATTTAATCTTTAGAAACGAATTACATTTTATTTATGGAAGATAAGTTTAGGACTTACATGGCTTTTCATTAGGAAAATGGAATACAACCCTTTTTATTATAACAATCTAAAAGTATTAAGTCTACTGCTAATTCCTTTTCGGTTATTTCAATTATACAAGACTTCTACATAAGATTAGAAAACAAAACATTATTCCCATCAATAGAAACCATTAAAGTCTTATTTAATTGAATTGGTGTAACACCCAAACGTAGTGTAAAAGTAGGTGATACCAATGAGTGTGTGGATCTTGGATTAATTAATACATGTATAGGAGTTTTAGAGATGAGGTATGTACCTTGGATGACCTCTAGATTAACCTCAGCATCTGGCACTGTGAGAGCATATGCTCTGCCCTGGGTGGCATGTGTAGGTTATCTAAAATGGTATGGACAATCACAGATCTTATGTTGAGTACTCTCATAACCATAACATGCATTGCTGGCGCGACGGTAAGTATGATCACCATGTTTCTTACCACAACTAGGACATTCTGCAATAGGTCTAGGAGGAGGAACAAACCTGATAGCTGAAAGGCAGCCACTCTTTCAAAGATCTCTAATCTCAAAACCTCTTGGAAACAGCGGGTTTTCATGCCCTCATCAGCCATAACATCTGGTGCATATCTGCCAAGCTCTAGAAATTTCTCTACATACTCATCAACTGTCATATTTTCCTGAGTTAAGTGGGAAAATTCTCATTCTTTTCGGTGTCTGACATGCTCTAAAAAGTACCTGGAATTGAAAGCTTCCAAGAAATTCTCCCAAGTAGGAGGACTAGGAAGGGATGCTTGCTTGAGTTCCCACCATCCCTCAGCTTCACCCTCTAACATGTACACTACTAGAACCACCTTTTACTTAGAAGTGACCCCAAGTACCCTGAATATCTTCTCAATAGATCTGATCCACTGTTCAACCATAATAGGATCACTACCTCCTCTGAAGTTGGTTAGACCAAGTTCATGAACTTATCAATGTTGCTTACATCAATCTTTGATGCTGTAAAGCTGGTCAGGAGGGATCACAAGGAGGAGGAGGTGCAAGAACAAGAGTAGGATTATAAGCACCAACAAGATCAAGGATGGGTGCTGGTATAAGAGCATGTGCTGGTGCAAGTGCAGGAGAAGGTGTAGGAGGCGGTGGAGGTAATGCCCCTCTATACCTATCTGCGATAATGGTCTCCATCATGTGAAGAAGTCGGTTGAACTCCTCCCTAATGGGACCATCGTGGGGCGGTTGTGCTGAAGGTCTCCCACATCTCATACTGTAATCCTACAACCAGAAAATACAAGTTTAGCATCTCTATTTTAGCTAGAAAAAGTATTCTTGAATATTTTTCAAATTAAGTTTATCTATATTTAGATTATAGAACCTCATGTTCAAGGGATAATCCTAGGATTGTTTTGCTCTGATGTCACCTGTGACGCCCCTGCTCTCCCACGAAGAGATTACAGTCGTCAAACGCTAAACATGTAGTAGAAATACAATTAACAAAATATTTATAACTTCAAAATATTCATCATCTATCCCTTGACCACTTTATAATATTATTTACGATACATAAGGTTCGTATGATAGAATCAAAACAAAATAAATACACATTCGGTTACAAAATATAATTTTCGTCACGGGTGCTCATGTAACTTCTTCTTGATCCGATTCAAGGTTGAGATCCTCTTAATCCATAATCGGATTCTCTTGATCTGGAATAATGGGAATTAAATGCGGTGAGCAATTTCAACGCGTTCAGTAAGTATAAGAAATAGGCTACACCCTAAGCATGCGACATACAATCAAACAATCAATCAAATATGTAAAATTTTTCTTTTTGTTTTTATTTGAAAACTATGAAATGCAAAGGTATTTCTTTTCCTATCTCGTCTCTCATTGGTCCACTAACTCCTATCTCTTGAAATTTTCCCTTAAGTTTAGGTATTATCTATCAAAATTCTCTTAAACTCATTTTTCCTCAAAATTCCTCTAATTTCATTTTATTCCACTCTTTTTCCTCAAGTTACTATTTATCCCTTATAATTACTACCATAATTTTTTACAAATTTCTAGTCAAATTGAGACATCCATATCACTTCAGTGGGTACTCCTGATTCCCGATTTGCCCTAACATAATCACCAAATTGAAGTTATTAAAGTTTTAGAGTTTTAATTTGATATTGGACGGATGTATCCGTTATCCAATTGGTATCATTATGGGATCAAGATTCCCACTATCACAAGGGAATGCACTCACATAGATAAAACACACATTTGTCACAGCAGTCCATCGCTAAGTGACCCACAACATAAAACACACCACAATCATATCCACTCAAGGATAGGGTTCATTACACCGTTGAATTTCAGTCATATCAATCTTAAATGGGTTATCTCTAAATTTTTGCTTCTTTCAAATTTTTGTTTCGTCTTCTTTTTCTTTTTATTTTAGTTAAGATTGATATTTTATTTATTTATTTATTTTAATTGAAGTTTCACTTATCACTCTTCACTTCCTTTTTCTAACTAATTCCCTCTAAATTTTATTTTCGAAATTTTTATTTAGTTATTTGTGTTTATATATATATTTGTTAATATTTGTTTACTTTATGTAATTCTTTGTAATTTATTAATATATTATATATATTTGCTAATATTTACAATTATTATTACTGCTATTTTATTTTATTAATATTACTTATATTATTATTATTATTTAATTTATTATTAATTATTTTTCTTAGATATATATTTTTTTCAAATCTTGTTATGTTTAATTAGTATTTTTATTTTTATTTTTTTTAAATCTTATCCTAATTCTAATTTCTTTTATTTATAATTTAATTACCTATTTTCTCATCTAGCAAGTTGAATATAATTTATTTTTTTTTTGTCTCTAATTTATTTTATCGTCTACTATTTTTTTTATCTATTTAATCCTTTAATTTGAACAACCCATTTTTCATATTTTTTTCTTCAAACTTTTTCTTTCATACAATTTATACATATATACACTATATAAGTATCATATATGCATTCAATTAATTCATTCAAACAAATGAGAGTTTAAAAACATAATAAAAGTATCAAAATACGTAAACAAACATTTTAGAGACTTTTTCCTACGGTTTGAACTGTCAAGATAGGTCATGAGATGTGTTTTAAATCCAACTCACCAACCCCTCTTTGCAAGCTTGTAACTTCTTATCCGGTTAACAAAATCTAATAAAACTTTATGTTATATAGGCCTTGAGTTACCTATTAATTATAGTTACAATTTGGAAGTCTTTACGAAATGATTTGAGCTCCAAAATTGTCCCCAAAGTTGAGAAAAAATCAACAAGAAAAAATTTCTTCTCGAGTCAGTAATAAACCTGCAAGTTGCATACGATTTTTCATGCATGTATGTCTTGATTTTGGTTTAATATAAACTTCAAACATGTTCTATTACATGCAGACTATATTTAGAGTATTTTATTTAGTTAAAATAATAAACGGATCTAGAAAATCACTCACCAAAATGCCAGTTTAATCACGCATTGGGGTTGCGGGTTGTCTGAAAATTCAGTGGGTTTTTGTGATTTCCGACACTGGTTGGCCGCGAAAAGCCCTTCCCTTAGTGATCGAACCTTTGTCGACGATCTCTGCCGTCCTTCCGCTCTTTTTTCTCCTTTCCTCCCTCGGGAATGGTAGACTTTGATCTCCCTTTTCTTCTTCTTCCTTCTTCTGTTTTGTCTTTTTTTTTTCTTTTACAGATTGAGCTAGCATGGATGAGTTTTTAAACTCAACACTCAAAAAATCTAGACCGCACAAGTCTCGCACATGTGGGCGCATGTGATCTGTTAGATGGGTCTTCATTAACGGCAAAATTGTAATTTTATCATCATATCTCCTCAATCGTTAGAACGCAATTCACCATTAGATCTGAACTGTTTAATCGCGTGATCGTTAGATCACCTCAAAATACATGCAGACCGTCCGATCGGTATCTCACACGTGGACCGTTGGATCGTCATTATTTTCTCTGTATGTCTGCACACTGTTGGATTTAAATATCGTTATTTCACCATTGGATTTGCCCAGAACACTTAGGACTGTCCGATCTGCTTACCATGGTTGTCAGCATGGATGACCACATGTGTGGGTCAACGTCATGCGGCTCTCTTTGATTGGACGGCTGCCACGTCACTAGCCCAGGTGGCCCATTTTTCAAAAATTATAAAATGGCCCATATTTTGAGCTTTTTTTTTATATTTTAGCATCTAAATTAATTCTTAAATTTACAAAGAACACTCAAATACATTTTTTTTTCTAATGAGAAAATATTAAATTCTAATCTTAATTTTCCTATCGTTGTTGTAATTAGTTTTTCATTAAATAGATTATGGAAATCACCACCCACCTACGTGGTCCTCCAATCACTTGCTATATAAATCACTATATTATTTTATTGGGTAGGTGTTGTCTTTTTATAACGACTTGAATATGAATATGATTATGGGTCTCTCCATGACTTGGGTTGGTGCGGGGCGTACAAGTTTTACCAGAATCAAATAATAAAGAAATATCCCACACATATTATATTTTTATTTAATTCCCAAGTTTTATAAATTATTAAATCTTTCAAATAACATAAATAAAATTATTTTTATTTTTTTAAAAAAAGGAAGGATAGCGTTAGGGATGACGGCAAAGAAAAAATAGCTACCATTTTCAAAAACCGTTAGGTGACGGTAACCAGCTCCCCCGAAAAATATCCGCAACTACAAAGTCCCCCATCGCACTGCCACAGGGACACTCTCTCATTTCCCTCGCATTTTCTTCCTCTCAGTTCTCTCGGTATTCTTCATTCGAGCTTCGAATAACAATGTCAGGTCCTCAGTGCTGTGAAAATCCACCAACCTTGGACCCTAACAGTGGAACAGGCCATGTGGAGAAGCTTGCCGGTCTTGACACCTACGTCGTCGGCTCTCCTGCCTCAAACCGTGCCATCCTTCTCATTTCTGATATTTTCGGTGCGTTACTACCTTTCACTATCGTTTTGGAGACGTGCTTGGAGTTTTTTGAGCATCATCTATCTGAACTTTGTATTTTCCCTGTGCTCATGGAATTTTCCGATCGATTGTTCTTCGAGTAGTTTTATTCATAATCAGTTTCTTTATAATCAATATAACAAATCTTCCTGTGATGCTTTTGTTTAGATTGGATATTATCTCGAGTATATGAAAATTTTGCTTACCGATTTAATTTTCCATTTTTAAAACTATTTTTCGTCATCATCTAACTATTAATTTTATGATATTCTGCAGGATTTGAGGCTCCAAACTTGAGGTATGATGAGTTTTACTTTGGTTTTCTGTAGCTGAGTGATGACTGTGGCAAAATTTTCTTCCTCTTTTTTATGTTTGAAGTTTGACTTTCAGCACGGGTAGCATTTATATGTTTCCTGCTTCGCGTAGTAGGTTAATGCATTTGAAGAATTTCTTTCACCTTTGAAATTCACTGTAGAATTGTTAGCTTAAAAATTATACAAATATTTTGCTTTCCTGGGATGGTGGAATCAATTGATGGAATGGGAGTTTGCCTGCTGTGTGTGGTATAAAAGTAGGTAAGCTCAAATTAAGTTGTTGCTTGCCATGTCACTTATTGTAGGTAACTATTTAAGCAATTGCTGATTCCTTTTACCTGGCAAAATCTTGTCATTCAGAATGAGGAAATAGTATCCTTTAGGTCTGATCAAGTCATGATATTCAGCATTCTTATTGGTAAAGTCAATTCATAAGCATGCTCATGCACTTGCAACTCTATTAGATATGTCTTACCCTGTTTCCACATTTAAAATAGTAAAGTATATTGTGAATTTTTTCTTCTTTTATTTTTTATTTTTCTGCTTTTTTCTTCTTAATATTGCAATTCTGTGCTTAGAATGTGGAGTTCTCTGCTATGTATAGATGGGAAATTATATGATAACTTGGTATTAAACCATCTACCATGGCTCATATGATTTCTACGGTTGAAATTGGATCATAAATCCAAACCTTTCAGTTAGCTTCATACTGTTATCTGAAACAGATGAATACTATAAGAAATGTGAAATTCGTTTGCAAATCTACAATTTTAATAATAATACGAATTTTGTAAATAAATTCAATAATTTTCTGCAGATTTGATTGCCTTAATGAAATTATGGCTTCTACATTTGATTTTTAATGGATCTTAGAGTAAATAAAGCTCAAGTCGACTGACTTAGTTTCCAAAACTAGGTCAATCTAAAAGGCACTTGATCACCCTGACGAGGTTTTTGAAACTGGATGAGTGTAAATTGAACGCCTAACTTTTCTGTAAATAAATATTTCTGGCACAATTTCTCCCGATTATGATAGCTCGATTTTATTGCACACTAATCTTATTTTCTCCTGCAAAGGAAACTGGCAGACAAGGTTGCAGCCGCTGGATACTATGTGGCAGTTCCCGACTTCTTTTATGGAGATCCATATGTGCCTGAGAATACTGATCGGCCAGTACTTGTTTGGTTGAAAGATCATGGAGCGGTTTGTTCTGCTCTTTAATTATGTATTTGCAAATTACAATTGAGTTTGTTAGGATTCTTTTTGGAGGTGAAATTTCACATTCTGATCTCTGTCTATACATGTTGTATTAACAGCTCTTTTTTTAAAAAAAAAAAAAAATTCTCCCCTCTTAAAAGCAAGTGGATGCTTTTAAATTTGGACAGTAGACCACTATGCCATATTTCACTTTCCACCATCCTGCAATCATGAGCTATCCTTGAAGCATTATATCTGTTTATAGGATAAGGGATTCGAGGACACAAAGCCGGTTATTGAAGCTCTTAAGAGTAAAGGTATATCAACAATTGGGGCTGCTGGCTTCTGTTGGGGAGGTGAGTTACTGCCATTTTCACCTGTTCTTATTTTTCATCACTTATCTTCCTCTTTGTTATCCTGACTTAGTCATGTTTAGGAAACTAATATTTTATCATTTGCAAGCTGTTTGATGTGTAATTTATTAGTTTGACACATGAAGAAGAGCATGAATTGGCTATTTAAGATTGACTTTTTGCATCAATTGCAGCTAAAGTTGTAGTTGAACTGGGGAAGTGTGAGCTTATTCAAGCTGGTGTCTTTTTACATCCTTCTTTTGTTACTGTGGACGATATAAAGGGTAAGTGTCTCAGCAATTGAGCTAAAGCTAATTTATAAGTGTCTCAGCAATTGAGCTAAAGCTAATTTACTTACTTATTGGCATTGATTGTCAAGGCCTATGATAAATTGCTTCAGAAAAGTCAGTAAACCTTATCTGATTTCATGCTATTCTAGGAGCATAGATGTTTAAGTACTTCTTAACACCATAAGGTATTGCCTGTATGCTGTCTTTTAATGCATGTGGACATATTTGGTTGACATGGATGCCACCTACTTTCTGTGATCTGTCCTAGCGCCTTGTCCTCCCTTGTTATATAATCATGCTTACTGTGATCTGTGCTGCTTCAGAATTCTCTTGAGATGACTTGCTATCATTCTCTCACCCTTTTTCTGGATGTGTATAGGATTTTCTTTTCTTTTGGTGGTTGTGACATCCAATACACAGTGTTGGTATTACTTGCTACAATTTTTATTCTATGTTTATGAAAATCTGTTTATCACGCGTGTTATCTTCTCCAGGTTTTTTTTTTTTTTAATCACCATATCTCATCACTTAACCAGTATATATATCTATATAGTCTAATAATCTTTCGCTAAATTTCTAAGTTTCTTTTGTCTTTCGCACCTAACTTCATGTCTAATTCTCTGCTATCCTTAATAAGTTTGTTTCAAATCCTACTTATCCTCTGTCAAATTATATGAATGATCAAGTTTTGTATTCTTTCAGCTATTAAGGTACCGCTTGCAGTATTAGGGGCAGAAACTGATCACGTCTCTCCACCCGCACTCTTGCTCCAATATGAAGAAGTCTTGAAAACTAGACCCGAGGTATGAAGTAACATTAACTGCTTTATCTGAATTCCATGAGCTTGTTTACAGGCTTTGGCTACTTCCTCGCTAATTACTGCCTTGCTTCTTTTGATTTCTTCATTAAATAATGTTTCCAAGTAACAAACTTTTAGAACTACTACCTTGCGTCTGTTGTTTTCTCGATAAAGTGGCACTTTCAAGTAACAAAAACAACCAAAATACAGTAATTTGCTTATTATTTTGGGTAGTTATTAAATTTCTGTTTGCTTCAAATTCAAGAGTTAAATTCCCTTATCTCTCTCTCTCTGAGGGTGTCTGGTGCACTGGTGCTAGGATAATGTTTGTTCGGTGTAATATATACAAGTTATTATGATACTGTCCAAAACAATCTTTGATTAAAAGTTTGGTACTACATAAACTACAGAAGTGGGTGATATAACCAGAAAAAGAAAGGTATAACTTGCAATAATGAGATAAATTTTTGTAATACACATTATTAGTCATGTACTTTGTGTTGCAAACAAATTACAGTCATCTTTTTGTGTCGTTTTATGTCCTACTCTACACTTGTTTTGTCTTAACTGTAACACTAACAAACACTATACATATGTTTTATGTTAACTGTAACACTACCAAACACTATTTAAATGTCTTTAAGCTTGTATCATCTTCCAAACAGAATTCATTCCTTTATTTGCTACAGATTGACAGCTACGTGAAGATATTCCCCAAAGTTGCACATGGCTGGACTGTAAGATACAATGTTGAAGATGCAGAAGCGGTGAAAGCTGCAGAAGAGTCTCACGAGAACATGCTGGAGTGGTTTGTCAAGTATGTCAAATGACAAACTTCTTGTTGAAGAAAATCTTGTGTACTATCTATAGTACAACTCTGTTGCTAAGATCATAGTAATTATTAAAACGGCTCAACAGAGCTGGATAATTAGATGTTCATGTACTGCAAAAAACTAAGAACCAAGAAATTTTTGGGTTCACAATAATAAAACAGGGTTAGCAATAATGCCACTAAGTTTGAACTTAAAAAATAGAGAAAACAAATCTTAATGGGTCGAACAGGATCAGATTGGATTTTATGGGATTAGCAGAAATGGATTAGGCGGCACGAAGTGAAACGAGATTGAAATGGAATCTAATAGAGTCCTAACAGCATAATCAAGTACAAATGTTTAATTTTGTATTTTATGATTTAATATAACCAACATAAACTTAAATAGATCGTCCTATTTGAAAATATTGCAATATAGGGAGGTCATTATCTTAATCAAACTTCATGTTCTGTTACATTACATGATTTTTTTTACATGATATATCATATCTCTACCACATGAGGGTGGATTCTATATAGATTTTTGTAGGATATAATTTGCTAATTAGATAATTTCAGGTACCAGGAATATATAAAATATACTATTACAAGAACTTTAGAATCTTTGTAGATAAATGTGTTTGCCAAACACTAGCTTTATAATCTACACAAAGACAAAAAAAAAAAAAACAAAAAAACAAAAATATTGAAGTTTATCTTTTACTATTTAAAATATTTAACTTTTATCACATATTATGTTTTTGGTACAAATCAAAATAAATTTTTTTCAAAAAAGCTAAATAATATGTTTTTTATTATAGTTAATTAATACTATTTAATATTTAATGACATGATATAAAAAATTATATTATCACATAAATAAATACATATGGATGATATGTTAGCGCCACTTCATTCTAACACCTTATATCCTCTTAATGGGTTAAATAATTTAAACCTAAACTATTTTGTTCTTTTTTACCTCTATTGTCCTCTTCTTTTCATCTTAGTTTTAGAACTCCGCTCTAAACTTGTAGCGCCCGGGGAAATTGAAGAAATTGAAGAAAAAAAAAAACGTGTGTGCCACGTCAGCAGTCCTGGCCAACCAGGACCCGCCACGTGGCAAAACCACGTCGACCGGGGACGGACCACGTTGGCGATCCGCGTGCGCGCGATCGGACGGCCCAGATCAATCGCGCGCACGGACGGTCCAGATTTAATCAAAAACGGACGGCCCAGATTAAATCAAAATGGACGGCTGAGATCAAAAGGCAAAAGGGTATAAATAAGACCCTCACACCAGACCCCAAACCCTAGCTGCCTGCCATCGCCGGAGAAGATGAACCAGAAGCCGGCCGTCGCCACCCGCCGCCGCACCGGAGGGATTTTCGACCGCCGATCGAGGTAAATTTCATACCCCCGACTCGTTTTTCCACGCTGATTTCTCCAGTGGCCAAATCGGAGCCAAAATCCCGGCCAAACGGCCGAAAGCCAGCATCGCCGCCGCGCCCCTCCTCGGTTTTTGCCTCCGATGAGGCCCTTCCCGGCCTCCGTTTAATGCAATTTTTATATCACCGTGATCACCATTCTTTTCTCTACAGGTTGATCGGAGCCGAATCACCAAAACACGAACTTCACCAGAGAGCCACCGCACCCGAGAGCACCGCCGCCGGTAAGCTTCGGTTTTCCGTAAATTTTCGGCCCCCCGAGGGCCGTAGGGTTGTTTTATCGCAGGAACCAATACGAGTGTGGTCGAATTCGGCCGGAAACGGCCAACCCAAGGCGAATCGCCGTCGCCGGAGCACGGCAGAGCCGCCGTGCCGGAGTTGCGATATTGGTCGAAAGGGGCCCTGGGCCTAATTTGGGATTTTTTGGAACACGTGCAGGTACCAGTAGTGCGTTTCAGTTCCCCGGAAAAAATTTAGGTAAAATTAGGGACAGCCTGCAAGCGCACTGTGAAGCCGTGTTCGGACCCCGAAACGAGTAAGGACCCCTCACCCTATTTTCTATCACGGTTTTAAAGTTCAATAAATGATAAAACGGTATTTTATGAATCAACGAATGTGTGAAATTGCTTAAGGTCGCTAATGGAGCCCGAGTCTAGTGTGTTTGTCGGTTAACTGTTATTTGGCCTGTTTTACAGTTTTAAATGTAGCATGAGGTTCGATGTTTTCATTTTATAGTTTCATGTGCATATTTTACTGTTTTATTGATTATGGATTGAATGACCGGGATATTGATGCTGTATGTTGTCTGTTTGGCATAAATTATCATTTTGCTTGTTTGTATGTGATTGATAATGCTGACTGAGGGAAAGGGAGAATGAAAGATTATG